CTGCGGCGCCCGAGACCCGCGAGCACCTCTTCAAGGTGCTGGTCATCGGCGAGCTCGGCGTGGGTAAGACCAGCATCATCAAGCGCTACGTGCACCAGCTCTTCTCGCAGCACTACCGCGCCACCATCGGCGTGGACTTCGCCCTGAAGGTGCTCAGCTGGGACAGCCGTACTCTGGTGCGCCTGCAGCTGTGGGACATCGCGGGTAAGCGAGCCCAGGGAACCGTCCGCGCCGGGAGCTCGCTGGCTGCGTTCCTCCTCCTAATTCCAGTCTCTGTCCTCTGCCTGAACTCTGCCTGTGTGCTTTTCGAGGGACGAGGACGCGAGAAACGCGAGGCGCAGATGGCCTTGATGCGGTGGGGTCACACGGTGGACGGGGCGGCCCGGGAGACCTTTCCAGGCAGGCTCAGGTCAATGTCCAGAGCCCGCTGGGCCTCCAGAGGTAGGGAGGCAGCCGCTAGTCCCGGGCCATCCCTGCCCCGGCTGGAGGCCGGGAAGCCCTGCGAGCTCCGCCAGAAGTTTGAACTCTGAGTAATGCCAAGATTGCAAAACCGGGTTGAGCTGGGGAGAAGAGCCCATGCCGGGGACCCGGGTCTTCACCGGGGGAGGCTTCCCTCCTTCAGTTGTCACCAACTTTCACACCCAGAGGTGACCCCCTCAGAAGTAGCTCAGACCAAACTGTAGCTCGGATTCCTTTCCAGCAGTTTTTCTTCACCTACCCTGGATCTGGTGCTGTGCTTTTGCGAGGGCCTTTTCCTAACAAGGAGGTGGGGAGCCAGGAAGACTATTCCAGAAGTTTTAACTGTGGCTAGTGATAATAAACCAGGAAGAGTAAGAAAGGCTTGGCTCTGAGCCTGGCCTTAATGAGGGAAACTCCTCTGCTCTTTGAATAGTTAGTTGTTCTTCACGCTGGGGAAGATCTGGGAAATTTCCCTGAAACTCTATACACCCCGTTTCCCTCCATCCACAGCGTCCTTGTCTACCCCTAATCCTGGCCCTTCCTGCCCATCCCACAATCCTGCCTTGTCTCCATCGCTTTGTGTTTAGTTGTCTCTGTGCAATATAAAAAATCATGGTCTCCGAGGGCTGTTCTCCTTACTGACATTTAAGAATTACTCTCTGGCCACGGTGGTGGGTGGGATGTGGACATTTGAAGAGAGGTGAACCATTGGGAAGTTTAAACATGGAAGAGGTAGCAAAGGTTACCCTGTTCGGTAGGAGAAGCTCAGTGCCCTAAGTCATTGGAGCGGGAGCATGTTTAGGGCAGAAGACACCTTACCTTCTCGCCCTTCCCACAAAGGGTGTCCCGAAAGCCATGGAAGGTGCAGCGCCCCAGCTGAGATCAGAGTGCGGGAACCCGTGGCTGCTGTCTTCCTGGCAGTGCTGTCTTCATATAGCCTGGTTCATGGAGGAAGTGTTGAAGAATTACAGACTTTACGCTCATAAGAAAGGATTTCTGCTTCAAATAAGACAGTGCGTTCTCTTCAGAGAAAGAGATAATCAGCCTAGCGGGGGGGGGGTCAACATTTTTTTTGGTCCCTAAAAACCGAAAGTACGTTTGAAAAGTCATCTTTGAAGACAGTCTTCTTTCGAAACACTTCCTGCTGTTGCCCAGAGCAGCAGTGAACATTTTACTGCCTCTTGAAAAGCGTGCATTCTAAAGTTTCCTTACCATGTGATAAGCATCTCGCAGGACTCCTTGGTGTAGGCTTTCCACAAGGAGGACTCAGCCCTCATAGAAGTGTGGTTAACTGTCTAGTCCTTTATGTAAAGTAACATGGCATTTTGATGTTAAATTACGATGGACTCCTACTGCAGATAAATGAGTATAAAGAATGAAACTTATGGCATCTGTATTTTTAAGCTTCATGGCAAAATGTTTTTATTTGGTGACTTAAAACAAAAGTCCAAGTAAGAGTTTTCTTCCTAGGTGTCACCTCTTCTGTTTTCATCATTCTTTGTGTGTGTGTGTGTGTGTGTGTGTGTGTGTGTGTGTGTAATACTGGGGATTGAACCCAGGGCCTTTGTACTTCTCTTTCCAGACATTTAAAAAAATTGTTTTAAGACAAGTTCTTGCTAAGTTTCGAAATTGCCCAGGCTGGACTCAAAACTTGGGGTCCCCCAGCTTTAAGCTCCCAGAGTACAGGGATGAAAGGTTTACACCACCATGCCTGGCTCTTTTCATCATTCTTGAACAGATCTAGATAACCAGCAATAAGACTTACTCTATCTTTATCATACTCTGCTAGACACCTGCCAAGATAAGATATCTTTGCACTTTTGCCCAAATCCAAAACATAATCTTTGCCAGAAAGGAAAGCAGTATTTCACAATCTCTAAAAGGGCTTTCTGGTTGCTAGCTACTGATGTTTCAACAAGAACTGCTGTACCTTTCAGAAGGTATATACTAGCAATCGATAGCATTAGATGTCAACTTCTGAGATCATTAGAAATTATTAGTTTCTTTTAGTAAGATTTTTTGGGGGGGTATCAGGGATCGAACTCGGGTCCTTCTGCTTGTGAAGTGGGCACCAGAATCACTGAGCTAAATTCCCGGCCCTCTTTTAGTAAGATTTTGAGAGATGGAGTCAATATAAGGACAACTAGAGAAAAAAATGACATAGGTTTAAGCTGGAGTTTAGAGAGCTACATCATAGCTGCTTGGTTTGAATATTTGAGCTGTTGGTGAATCTTAGCTCATACTATTTGAATTAAGTAAGAATGATGCAATGAGGGGCATTCCAAAAAATTTTTCCCCAAGCTTACTTGTTTGGCTGGTACTGAATTCTCAAAGAATAGAATATCCCATGATTGCAAAACAGGAGGTGAAGCCAGCCACTTGATATGACTAATTTAAGATTTGGTGTTATTCCTAGCTTGTTTTTGCTTTTGTTGTTTTGGAGGCCTTGTGGGAGAACATGACCATAAACAAATTATGTCAACAATCTCTATTCTAGAGAGCTTTGGAAAGTGTAATAGGCAAGGATTGTTGAACATTTCCTGTAAGTAGAGACAAGCAAATTTAGCTAAACTCTTCAAATTAAGAACCGCAGTAACTTTCAGATAGAGGCCTTGACAAATCTTTCTCATGGCATTGAAAGAACTTATTTTTAAAATGAAAATATACTTGAATGCCATTTTTATATGAAACAATTTTCCTGTTAAATTCATACTTTAAGACTGCTTGATAATAACTGAGATATGTTAGCATGGTTAAGTCTTGAATAAGATTTTAAAGCAAGTTTAATAAACAAACACTAACATTAAGATGTAGCTGGAAGAGGTCTTTGATTTTTCTTTTAATGTTTAGTAGAGGTAAAGTATTGAGGTTATCACAAATTGTAAGCTTATTGCTTAATGGCAATGATAGAATTATCCAGACAGGTTAAATTGCTAATCTAAATTAGTCCTTAAATATATCCACTTAGATATACTGTACTTTAGACTTCATGTATTGATTGAAGTGAGTTGTAACACTTTGAGTCAAAAAACAATTTGGGAATAATCTGCTTTGAAAAAAGTGTGTGTAATAATTTTTACCCAAGCACAAAATGGATGCTTGGAAAGCGTTACAAACTATATAAGCTATGTTTAAATTCATTTTCATCATTTTAATTTCTATCTTAATGCAGAAGGTGGACTCTGATTTTCTTTTTCCACTTTGTACTTTGCCAATTAGTGTACCTGATAATCTCCGATCTTTTTCCATAGCTGTCTTTTAGACATTCATGAGAAAGAATCAGGAGTATTACCTGGACCCTTCCCTGATCTTCGAATTATCACTGAGGGATAGTCAGTGCCCTGGTTTACATCTGTATGACCCTCCAAAACCTCCTGTTTGTGGAGGTGGCGCTTTTGGAAAGGGATTGGATTACTAGTGCACTATAGATGATTTGCTGTTAAGAGGTAGTGTTTGATGGGAAGGGGAGGATCCCTTGGGGTGTGGCCTGGAATGGTGTGTTTCCTTCTCCCTTTCTGTCTTTCACATTCTACTTCCTGTTTCCCTGAGGTCAGCAGCTCTCCTCAACTAAATCTTTCCTGCCCTGGAGCCAGCCAACTGTGACCAAATGTGAGCCAAAATAACCCTCTCCTCCTTTAAATTGCAGGTGTCAGGTTTTATTTCTCAGTGATAAGGAAAGAAACTAAGGCACTGAGTTATCTTCTGAATATGAATAAGCAGTGCTTCAAGTAATTATTCCTAGTCTTTGCCTTACACATGAATGCTACAATAAGTTTCCTGTTGCTAGTGGTGGCCAATTACATACATCCAATCGAAAGGCTTTTTCTAATCTGTGTTATGCATAAGTGACCTGAATTTTCCACAGCCTTGCCATCCCAGCCTTAGTCAGCCTCATTTCCAATGCAAAATTACAAGCAAAGCCTGCCATCTTGAAATCAGAGTTGCTGAGTTTGGGCTGTACCTTTATTCTTGCTGAGGTGGGCAGTGGTCAGCATAACAGTGTCACTGGACAGAGTTTGATAAGTCCCACCAAATAGGCAATGACGACTTCGACCTCCCCTCTCTCTGTGGAGTAGGTTCATCTACTCTTATCACAGAAGCAGGTGAAGGATGTGTTAGGGAGAGGTTTAGGTGGATTCATTAAGGAGAAACAAAGAACTACACACTCAAGAAGGAGTTCAAGTTCTCTAACATGAGGCAGGTTATGATTTGGGGTTTGGGGATATTCACGTGGTCTTGGCATGTTCTCAAGATGAATGGTCTAGGATGTATATTCCTAGTGTCTGTCAGGTTACCCATTCATAGGTTCGGATAAAATGTAAACCAGCATGTGTGTGAAGTATGGAGATATGGTACCTAATTAACAGAGTTATTTCCTTGAGGATGGAAATCTTCGGAATTTGTGAATTTATACTGCTGAACAGACATAGTTCCAATCGACAGGCTTACTGTATCTTTAAGACTGTTAGAAATTTAGAAGTGAGAAGCCTGGAAGGAAAAAGCAGGTGTAGGGCTGAAAAGGCACTGTAAGCTTGGGTAAACTTGGGTGCTGATGCTGCAGTTTTCTTAAGAATTCCATTTTAAAAACAAGTTTCCTTTCTCCCTGCCTTTACTTCTTCTGCCCCACCTCAACAGCATAGTTGTGTTAGCACTCATGGAAATTCTCCTGCCAAAGATAAACCTGTGTCCTGTCCCTCATTATTGTGCACCGTTCTTAACTGCCTCAGTCAGCCCTGTGACCTGAA